GATGGAGTCGTTGCCGCTGGCGGAGGGGGAGGCGGGAGGAGAGTCGCCAGAGGGGAGGGGGAGGGAGGGGGGAGGGGAGGGGAGACCCGAGGGGAGAGGAGGGGAGGGGAGGGGAGGGGAGGGGAGGGGAGGGGGGAGGAGGGGAGGGCAGAGAGGAGAGGAGAGGAGAGGAGAGGAGAGGAGAGGAGGGGAGGGGAGGGGAGGGGAGAGGAGAGGAGAGGAGAGGAGAGGAGAGAGGAGGCGGGCGCGGGCGCGGGGCACACACACGCCTGCCGTCACCGTTCACAATGTCGCCCCCCTGGACGAACATGCCGTTCCAGAGCTCGAGCATCCTAGCCGGGCTTCCAGAGAGGGCTCCTAGACGGCTCCTAGCCGGTTCCAAGAAGGTGCTCCAGAGCCCGATCTCTCCTCCCGGTGCCGTCGGCCCCCTCGCGGATGAACTTCGGAGGCTCATCGTCGAGATTGACCTACCGATGAATTAATTAACTCGAGGGGAGGAGGGGAGGGGAGGGGGGAGGAGGGGAGGGGAGAGAGGAGGAGAGGAGGAGAGGAGGGGAGGGGAGAGGAGAGGAGAGGAGAGGAGAGGAGAGGAGGGGAGGGGAGAGGAGAGGAGAGAGGAGGAGAGGAGGAGAGGAGGGGGGAGGAGAGGGGAGGAGGGGAGGAGAGGAGGAGAGGAGAGGAGAGGAGAGGAGAGGAGAGGAGAGGAGGAGAGAGGAGGAGAGAGGAGGAGAGGAGGAGGAGAGGAGAGGAGAGGAGAGGAGAGGAGGAGAGAGGAGAGGAGAGGAGAGGAGAGGAGGAGAGGAGGAGGGGAGGAGAGGAGGAGAGGAGGAGAGGAGGGGAGGGGAGAGGAGAGACTCACCGCGCGGTGGAACGTGGAGCCGCGGTAGCAGAGCGGCTTGCCGGTGCGGGGGGAGAGACCTCCTTCGCCCGTGCAGAGCGCGCGGAAGTTCTCGCACGTGCGCGGCAGCTTGTCGGCGAAGAGCTCGAAGACGATCCTGTCCCGCGAGATACAGCCGAGATGCAGCCGAGATGCAGCCGAGGTGCAGCCGAGATGCAGCCGAGGTGCAGCCGAGATGCAGCCGAGATACAGCCGAGATGCAGCCGAGATGCAGCCGAGGTGCAGCCGAGATGCAGCCGAGGTGCAGCCGAGGTGCAGCCGAGATGCAGCCGAGATACAGCCGAGATGCAGCCGAGATGCAGCCGAGGTGCAGCCGAGATGCAGCCGAGGTGCAGCCGAGGTGCAGCCGAGGTGCAGCCGAGATGCAGCCGAGATGCAGCCGAGGTGCAGCCGAGGTGCAGCCGAGATGCAGCCGAGATGCAGCCGAGGTGCAGCCGAGGTGCAGCCGAGATGCAGCCGAGGTGCAGCCGAGATGCAGCCGAGGTGCAGCCGAGGTGCAGCCGAGATGCAGCCGAGATGCAGCCGAGATGCAGCCGAGGTGCAGCCGAGATGCAGCCGAGATGCAGCCGAGAGACAGCCGAGAGGTGCAGCCGAGATGCAGCCGAGAGGCAGCCGAGATGCAGCCGAGATGCAGCCGAGATACAGCCGAGATACAGCCGAGATGCAGCCGAGATGCAGCCGAGATGCAGCCGAGATGACACTAGCCAGCCGAACCTGCCCGCCGGCACGCCGCCGACCGACACGTCGAACCAGACGCGAGGGCGCCTAGAAAGGTCCTAGAAGGTTCCAGGAGTGTTCCTAGAAGGTTCCGAGAAGGTTCCAGACGCGAGGGGCGCGTGCTGCGCCGCCGCGGCTTCAGGTGAATCCCCTTGTACAGCCCGCCCCGCCCGCCCGCGGCGCCCATCTTGGCCAGCAACGCCTTGCCGCCGGCCTCGCGCCGCTCCTCGGCTTGCCTCAGCTCCGACCACAACTCGCGCACCTCGCGGTTCGTCGGTATGAATTAGTTAACTCTTAAGTAAGAGTGAATTAAGAGCTGGTTAATAGCACCTCGCGGTTCGTCGGTATGAATTAGTTAACTCTTAAGTAAGAGTGAATTAAGAGCTGGTTAATAGCACCTCGCGGTTCGTCGGCGCCAGCCTCGCCGCCTCGCGCAAGTCGCGCCTAGAAGAGAAGGCTCCCAGAAAGGCTCCCGGAAGGCTCCTGGAAGGCCCCCAGCCTCGCCGCCTAACGCAGGCCGCGCCGCGCCGCGCCAAAGTCCGACGAGCGCGAGCGCGCCTTCGCCCGCCGGAACAGCGCCTTCACGTTCGCCTCAGCCTCCGCCCCAAGAGGGTCCGAGAGCCGGCTGACGGCGGCGTCGCAGGCGGCGGCGGCGGCCGCCCACTCGTCGCAGCGCAGGCAGCAGGCGGCCTAGACACGGCCGAGACACTTCCTAGACACTCCCTAGACACTCTCGCAGACACTCGTCGCAGCGCAGGCAGCAGGCGGCCTCGTTGAGCCGGCACGCCACCAGCAGCTGGCGCGCCTCCTCCTCCCTGTAGTACCGCACAGTAAGGTACAGTATAGACAGTATAGTGTAGTACAGTATAGTGCAGTATAGTGTAGTATAGTACAGTATAGTGTAGTACAGTATAGTGTGGTATAGTGCACCTCCCCGCGGGGGCGCGCAGCTCGCCGAGCGACGCGTACCCCTCCAGCGGCGCCTAACATATAGTATAGTACAGTATAGTACAGTACCCCTCCAGCGGCGCCTAACATGTCCTCCGCTCTCGTGTCATGATGATGATGATGATGATGATTATTATTATTATTACTATTATCACCATAATTATTATTATTATCATGCCCCGTCACTCTGATGTCGCACCACGCGGACAGCCCACCATGCCTCACAGTCCCCCCCATGATGCCCATGAGACCCACGCGTGCACCTCTGCCGGCGCATCGTCGGGCAGCAGCCGCGCCGCAGCCCGGTGCGGCGACTCTCGGCGAATCTCGGCGAATCTCGGCGAATCTCGGCGAATCTCGGCGGAATCTCGGCGGAATCTCGGCGGAATCTCGCGCCTCGTCCAGCAGCAGCCGCGCCGCAGCCCGGTACGCTGCCAGCGCACCGGTGTAGTCTTTCGCGCCGAACGCCTTGAGCCGAGGCGAGGCGAGGTAAGGTGAGGGGAGGGGAGGTGAGGTAGGGCGGAGGCAAGCCGAGGTGTAGCCGAGATACAGCCGAGATACAGCCGAGGTACAACCGAGATACAGCCGAGATACAGCCGAGATACAGCCGAGGTATAGCCGAGGTGCAGCCGAGATACAGCCGAGGTGTAGCCGAGATAGAGCCGAGATAGAGCCGACCGCCTGGCCGCCGGACGCCTTGAGCCGCGCCGCCTCGTCCAGCACCTCGCCGGCGCCCATCTCCCACACCTCGCGCTTCGGGGCCGTCCAGCTGATCAGCTCGACTTCGAACATCACCGACGCCCCTCCAGGCACGTCCGCGAACCTGCGTGCTGAATACACCGGCCTCAGGCCGGGGGCACGGTCTTGCGCAGCGCCTTCAGAGCGCCGCGCGAGTACGACGGATAGGGAGACTACAGGTGAAGACAGGTGACGACAGGTGAGTCCGCGTCCTCTCGAGCGCTGGTTGGGAGACAGGAACACGAGATATGGGGAGATATCGGGAGATATGGGAGACATGAATACGTGTTCCGCTTCTAGGGGTGCGAGATATGGGGAGATATGGGAGACATGAATACGTGTTCCGCTTCTAGGGGTGCGAGATATGGGGAGATATGGGAGACATGAATACGTGTTCCGCTTCTAGGGGTGCGAGATATGGGGAGATATGGGAGACATGAATACGTATTCCGCTTCTAGGGGTGCGAGATATGGGGAGATACGGGGAGACATGAACACGTACTCCGCTTCTAGGACAGCGAGCCCTTCCCCGGCGGCGGGGCGGCCAGATGGGCCGAACGCGTACCTAGAGATGGAAAAGAAGAAGCACGTCGCCGAAAAGAAGTACGCGCCGGCGGCCAGGCGGGCCGTAGTATGCGTACTCTGGCCGCAGCAGCAAGGACGCCTCCTCGCCGCGCGCCATCGAGCGCAGACCGCGCTCGAGCCCGCGCACCTACGGAAGGCAAGGGGTAAGGTGAGGCACACTGCACTTCGCCACACACGCAACGGTGGTGGGGCAACTCGAGCAGGCAGACCGCGCTCGAGTGTGTGTGTGTGTGTGTGTGTGTGTGTGTGTGTGTGTGTGTGTGTGTGTGTGTGTGTGTGTGTGTGTGTGTGTGTGTGTGTGTGTGTGTGTGTGTGTGCGTGTGTGTGTGCGTGAGTGTGTGTGTGTGTGTGTGTGTGTGTGTGTGTGTGTGTGTGTGTGTGTGTGTGCGTGTGTGTGCGTGTGAGTGTGTGTGTGTGTGTGTGTGTGTGTGTGTGTGTGTGTGTGAGTGTCGAAGGGGAAGAGCAGCCAGGGGCTCGGGGCTGGACACATGCGCGGTGCGGGTGGACGCGAGACGGGAGATGGCGGCACGCTGGACCGACACACAGACACACACAGCCTCACAGCCGACGTGGAGACGCCAACCTCGAGGCGAAACCTCGAGGCGAGACGACGGGCTTGCGCAGTGTCTTCAGAGCACCGCGTGGAGACGAGGGGGGGGGCGGAGACGGCGAATACAGCCGAATGCCGCCGAATACGGCGGGAGACAGCGGAGTCCGTGTCCTCTCGAGCGCTGGGTGGGAGACAAGAACACGTCTTCCGCTTCTAAGGCCGCGCACGAGCAGGCCGTCCCCGAGCGCCGTCTCCACCACGCCCGACTCGAACCGCCTCCCGTCGGCGGCGAGGCGCCCGACCTAGACACTTCCTAGACACTTCCTAGACACTTCCTTGTTCACAGCCGTGCAGTGAGGCGAGGCGGCCGACCCAGCGGAGCTTGACGCGGCTCGGTACGGGAGGGCGGTCGCCACCCGCCGCGCCCTCGCGCCGCACGCGCTTGAGCACGCCGCCGTCGCCGACGAGGTCGACCATGCCTTCGAGGGCGACGCTCCAACCGCCGGGCGCGGCAGCCGGCGGCGGCGGCGCCGTCGGAGGAGGAGCAGCCGGCGCCGGCGCCGGCGCCTTCCGCTGCAGCAGCTCGGCCACACGGAGCCGGTCACCGAGCTTGGCCACGCCGAGAGCCTTGAGCTGCTCGTGCAGCGCCGCCTTGTCACTGCAAGAAGATCGGAGAGCCTCGACGTCGGCGCCGGCCGCGGTGAGGCGCTCTAGAGTCCAGGAGGTCGCCGCCATCGTCCCTGTCCCTGTGGTTGTGGGCTGCTTCGCTGGAAAAAGAATTTTTCAGCGCGCAGGAGTAGAGGGGGCGTTCTCCTTGCCCTGCGAACGCGCACCCCCCCCTAGGGGTCAGGGCTCTCTAGCCCGTAGCCCGATACCGATCATCCGGCCCGCTGGGTGCGCTTCTGAGCTCCCCGGCCCTGGATGTGAGGTTAATGACTGCACTCCAAGTGCTCCAAGTGCCAAGGCGCGGGGCGGTGGTGCTCGCCGGCGCTCGCGGTGCTTCGGTGCTCGAGCGCGCTCAACATTGTGGTCGTTCAGGGCGGCTCGCACAGCGCCCGCAGGCACACACACACACACACACACACACACACACACACACACACACACACACACACACACACACACACACACACACACACACACACACACACACACACACACACACACACACACACACACACAGACACACAGCCCCTTCCCCTTCCCCCTCAAGACCGCAAGGGCGAGGACACGCGCAGGGGCCGCACCTCTAGCGAAGCCCACAGAGTGGGAGACTCCTATCACCGCCCTGCCACCCACGTGAGCCTTTTGGCCGCCTCTGTCAGTGTGCCCGTGGTAGTGAGAGACTGCTGGTGAGAAGCCGGAGGAAGGTCGCTAGTCGAGAGAGAACGCCAGTGGGATAGGGAGTCCACCGTGCTGCGAGCCTGTTGCTGTCCCTTGTCAGGAGCAGGAGAACTAGGAGAGCGCAACCAGTACTTAGGGTACCCCTAGGCTTAAAAGGGTGGGCCCTGGGGCGCCTGCACGGCTTAAACGGCTTAAAACCTGCCATGGCAGGTTTTAAGAGCTGCTGGGCCGCCGATTCCTTAAACGGTCTTAAACGCTTAAACGGTGCGGGAGAGCTCCCGAGGTCGATGGTCCGGGAGGCTCCCCGGTAGACGCCGGAGGCCGGGAAGCTGGCTACAGTCAGCTGGCACGCGTCCCCTATGCGAGTATGGCTCCTGCCAGTGCACCAGACTTACAGATGTGTCTTCAGTGGCGGGTTTGTGCCTATTAACGGCAGTATTGGAGAAACCGGCACGGAACCCAGCGACGCATGTGCCGGTGAGGCCGATTTTCTTAAACGGACTTAAAAGAGGGACGCCCCCCGTGCCTGCAATCTCTTAAATGACAATTTGAGCCCCCAAACCTCCTCATTTCTTAAAAGGTCTTAAAACAATCCGGCCCTCAGAACCCTAGGGGTACCCTAAGAACCAGTAGGAGGCCCGCGCCTGCCCCCGTGCCGCCGGGTGCAACCTGTCCTATACGAGAGAGGAATCCCTGGGACCCTGTCGTGTGGGTGAACCCTGCCCAGCCCCCCTCCGTGTCGCGATGCGCTCCCCGCCCTCCCGTTCCCCTGTGTCCCTGATCGTCCTTACAAGATCCTGCTCGTGCAGGTGGGGACCCTGTCCTTCTCCCACCCCTCGTTTGGCGTGCCCGTTTTTATTTATTACACTGGGCACGGGACTGGAAAAAGAATTTCACGTTTGCGTTAGGGCTCTCTTGCCCGCAACCCGATGCCAATCATCCGCAGAATCCTCCGCAGCGCAGCACACACACACACACACACACACACACACACACACACACGAAGCGCTGCGAAGAACGGGCCACAACGCGCCAGTCCCGTGCCCAGTGTCGTGCGAACTTGGAGCACTTGGAGTGCACTCAGAATCGTGAGCGGTGTGTGTGTGTGTGTGTGTGTGTGTGCGTGTGTGTGTGTGTGTGTGTGTGTGTGTGAGCGGCGGCGGCGCGCGCGTGTATGTGCGTGTGCGGACTGTGCGGGCGCTGTGCGCGCCGCCGCCCTGAACGCTGAACGACCACACAATGCCGTGCGAGCCGCATTGGACGTGACGAAAGGAACAGTCAAGACGGCGCTGGTCGGTGTCGGCGCCCAAGGCCTCGCCGAGAGCTGCAGAGCGAGGAGCGCGGCGTGCCACCCGTCCCTCCAGCCTCCTCCCTCTCCTCGGCGTCTGCTTGGCGCCGGCGAGAGCGTGCCTCGTCTACCCCCTCTGCCGCGGCGGCAGCCTCGAGGACCGCCTCTACCGCACGCCAGCCGCGCTGCAGCGGCTCCATGCTCGGCTTCGAGACGCCGCCTCCCCCCCTCTCCTCTGCCGCACGGCTCCGCGTGCTTCGCGACGCGGCGAGCGCGCTGCACTACCTGCACACGCGCTCTCCCATGATCCTGCACCGCGACGTCTCGGCGGGCAACATCCTGCTCGACGAGCGCGGCAACGGCTACCTCGCCGACGTGGGCCTCGCGCGCGCGGCAGAGGTCTCACACCCGACGACCTCGGGAACTAGCCGGGGCAGTCGGAGAAGGGGCAACTCCGTGCACTGACGGTCGGCCGTCAGAAAACACGCCTGCGTGGATCGCGTCACACCAGTGCTCGCTACCCAACGCGGCCAAACACCGAATCCGGGGCTCTCAACCCACACTTCACCCTTGGGGACCCGCTGTGTGCGGGGCGGGCCCCTGCACAGGGTTCCGGCTCCTAGCCGGATAGGGGGTCTGTCGCCACTGACTCGCGCCAAAACGCCCTACCTACCTACCTATCCCCAGGCCGCGCAGCGAAGCGAAAAAGATGAAAATAGGGGTTACTTACCTATTGCAGGGCCCTTTTGGGCGAAACATAACCAAGCTCCCTAATTATCTGGGAGGGGCCAGCCAGCCAGTTCAGACCCCCTATCCGGCTATAGGAGCCGGAACCCAGCTGTGTCCGAGCGACAATGATCGCTGCGCTGCCGGCACTCGCAGCCTCACATGCAGTGCTCTCGCCGCTCCGGCCGCTGGCGCCGCAACAGATCACGATGGCCCTGGACCAGAAGGCTAACGCCATGTTTGATACAGTGGACGCCAGAGACAAACGCCCTGACTTTATCACATCCCTCGAGACGCGCGACAAGCTGACTGCTGCCTTCCTCGTTCACGGCGTCGTCGTGTCTGGCCTCAACGTAATTGGCTTGTACGACCGGTACGAGTATGTCGCAATAGGCATGGCCGGGTTCATTGGGTTGACCAGCGCAGCGGTCGGGTGGTACGAGCTCTGCGCTGGGATAACTGAAGACGATGACCGGCCCGGCTTTGCTCACGAGCGCGCAATCATGCTCTACACGACCTCGTACCTCGCCGGCGTGATGTGGCTTTCACTCCGCTTCTCGCCGCTCTACCCTGCGTCGCTCGTGCCTCTGGACAACTTGCTGTGCGCCGTCTCGATCCTCGTCTATCTTTACGGCCTCGTCTCTCCCGCGGCCACGCTCGTCTGCTTGCGCGAGCAGCTGACGCCCACCGAGGTGCTGCGGATGAAGGGCATGGTCGTCAGCGGGCTGGTCGGATCCGTCTTCCTCCTCGAGACGACGGCGCTGCTGCTGCACGAGGCCGACTGGTGGGGGCACGTCACGGCCCGCTATCCGGCGCAGTCGGTCCTCGAGCCCAGCGTCACCGTCTTCGCCGCGTACGCAGTGGAGGCGGGCGTCTTCATCCACAGACTCGCGCGGCGAGGCGTCGTCACCTTTGCCGACGCGGTGCCGTTCTACGGCAAGGTGCTCCTGCCGCTGCTCACGCTCTTGCCAATGGCCTGCCTCTTCGCGTACCGTCACGACGAGGTGAGCTTCTGGGAGTTTCTCTTTTTGGATTGGGAATAATTGCTTATCAATTGGTTTTATCGGGGAGAAAAGAAAGGGGGGCGGGGGGGGAGGCTCCTCCGCCTTGCGTTTGTTTCTTAACATCGAAGGGGCGAGCTCAAAAGAAAATTGCCACTGCAGAATGCCTTCTCAAAGAAAGAAGTCAAAAAAAATTTCTTCCGGTTGGGGCGCGCGCGGGGGGCGGCGGGTGTGCGGGATGTCTGTGGGCCCGAAAGCGATATGCCATGTCCGCCTTGCGTTTGTTTCATAACATCGAAGGCTAAGCTCACGTCCCAAACTGTCACTCCCCTCTCTCCCGGCCGGGGTGGGGCGCGCGCGGGGGCGGCGGGTGTGCGGGATGTCTGTGGGGCCGAGAGTGATATGCCATGTCCCGCCTTGCTTTGTTTCCTAACATCGAAGGCTAAGCTCAAAAGAATTCTACGAACGCAAGCCCCTCTCACAGCAGACTGGCACGAACTAGCACCACAAAAGGCACAGCAGACAACGGCCCCTTATGGGCCGTCGAAGAGGCCGTCATACTCCTCCGGCCTCGCCCCCCCTTCCCAACCCTCCCCTGGCTCAGGCTCCTCATCCTCGCGGCGCGCAGTGCGCACCCCGCCCCGCGAAGACGAACCCTTCCGCCGGCGTGCCTCGCGATGCCTAGGCTGGCCGGTTCTTTTCATCAGATTGACGTGCTATCTGGGGCGATCCAGATCAATCCAGCTATCTCGTTCTATCTCGTGCGATCTCGCGGCGATCTCGCCTATTTTCGAGCCGTTTTTCTTTTCTTCTTCGCGCTGCGCGCGCATAGACGCTCCTTCCCGCCAGCTCTATATGGGTCGCAGCCGCAACAGCCGCAGCCGCAGCCGCGACCGCGACCGCGGCCGCGACCGCAGCCTTTCCTCCAACTCCTCGTCGTCCTCGGAGGATTCGGCGGAGCGCGAGGAGCGCATGCAGCGCGAACGCGATGATCGCGAGGAGCGCGAGCTCAAGCGGGAGCAGAGGAAGGCCGCAAAGAAGGCGGCCCGCGTGCAGACGGCGGCCACCGCCAAGGCGGGCCTGCTCCAGTGGCGCTTCCTGATCAAGCAGGACGACCCGATCGATGAGGACACCTTCGACGTGACGCTGCTCGCAAGCTGCCCCCCGGAGCTGCGAGTGAACTCCATCGTCACGGCCGAGGATTGGGGCCGCCTCGAGCCGTACCTGCGCGAGTCGTTCGAGATTCCCACCTCCGTCAAGATCGGCCTGCAGGGCAAGGTGCTGTTCAGCGGCAAGCAGGCGCTCTTCTTCAAGGTCCGCGACCAGCCCACGCTGTCCACCGCGCGCGTTCAGATCGAGCGGCTGGGCCAGCTGCTTGTGGACGAGACGGAGGTCACGGTCGAGGTCGAGATCTGCGCTTGGACGTCGGCGTCTCGGGCGGGGTAATGCCGGCGGGCCCCCAATATGGGGCACGTCCAGGTCCATCAGCAGCGAGCGAGGGCGGGCCGCCCTCCTCCCCCTCCGCCGGCGCCGCGCCGCCGGTGGAAACCTCCTCCACTGGGTTGGGCCGCTCAGCAGCCAAACCCGCCGCGGTGTCGGGCACCTTCTCGAGCCCCCCCCCGCGACCCCTGGCGCCACGGCCGCGCCGCCCTCGGCGGCGCCGCGGCGCCTTCCGCCCGCCCTCGACCTCCTCCTCCCCCCCCGCGGCGGCGATCGTCCCATCGCCGCTCTCCGGCAGCGCGGGCTCCAAGGGGTCCAAACCGGATCCCTCGGTCCCACCTCCGGACCCACCTTCAGCGGCCTGCGCGTCGCAGGCACCGCCGTCCGCCTCTTGGGGGCGCGCGCCGCTGCGGCCCTCGCCGCCAGCCGCTGCCCCGCCACCAGCCGCCTGATCGCCAGCCGCCACCCCAGCCGGGGTGTCGCCCAGCGACAAGCCGCTGAGGGATGCCAAGACCGCAGCTGCGTCCCCCCAGCCCCGCCGGCCGAGAAGAGCTCGGCGGAGCTTCTCCGCCTGAAGCTCGTGGAGTCCGAGCGAGGCAATGCCCTTCACAGCGACCACCGTGAGGAGGTCGCCAGCATCGCCCACGCCCAGGTCCTCGAGCTTCCCTTCGCACTTGCGGTAAAACTTGTCGGCAATGCGTGCGCGCTTGAAGAGAGCCTCGAGCGGCTCTCCCAGGTCGATGGCGGGCGAGGCCGCCATCGAAGGCCTGGTGCCCGGCCGCGTGGCCCCCGGGCTGCGGGTGGGTGCTCGCTGTGGCGGCCGCCGAGAGGGCAGAGAGCGGCGGCAGGCCGCCGACGGCGTAAAAGAAATAGCTCAACCCCACGCTGGTTGTGCAGGCGAGCGTCGGGCGTCGGGCGAGGATGGCGGGGTGACTACTGGCGTAACGCAGCGGGTGGTGGAGCTGCTGCTGCAGCACGGCGCGGAGATCGATCTGCAGGACAGCGACGAATGGACCGCGCTGACGTGGGGCGCCATCGAAGGCCACGAGCGGGTGGTCGGCACGGCGCGGAGATCGAGCTGCAGGACAGCGACGGCAGGACCGCGATGATGTTCGCCGCCGTCAACGGTCACGATCCGGTGGCGGATTTGCTGCTGCGGCACGGCGCGGAGATCAACCTGCAGAGCAGCAAAGGCGGGACCGCGCTGACGCGTGCCGCAGACAACGGCCACGAGCGGGTGGTCGAGGTGCTGATACAGCACGGCGCAGAGATCAACGCGCAGGACAACGACGGCGACACCGCGCTGACGAACGCCGCCTTCTCAGGCCACGAACGGGTGGTCGACCTTCTGCTGCGGGGCGGCGCGGAAATCGAGCTGCAGGACAGGAAAGCCGTCAGCGAGTCGGGCTGCGCGCGACCTCCTCCGGCCCCTCCTCCTCTCTCCAACGACCCTCCTCGGACCCTGCTCGGAGCCGTCTCTGCAGGCGAGTTCCTCCGGCTGCAGTTCCTATCCGTGCTGTCGTACCTGCACCGCCAGAACCACGCCGACATCGCGCGGCAGGCCGAGCGCTCTCGAGCCGGCGCGCCCTGTTGAGCAGCTGGGGTCGATCCCTCGGCTCTGGCGTGGTGTTTGAGACGGAGCTGCAGTCGGACAATGGCGAGATCGCGCTCCTCTCCGACGAGGGGAAGAGGGCCCCTGCCACTGGCAGGGGCCGAGCGGCATACCGACGCCGCGACAGAAGAAGCGGATGGAGGCGGCCGCCAAGGCGCGCGAGGAGGAGATGGCTGCGCGCAAGCTGTCCAAGGCGTCTTCGGGCGGTAGCGCGGCCGGCAAGGGCGGCGGGCCGGCGGGTCCCGCAGGCTTGGGCGGCAAGGGCGGGGCACGGCCGGGCGGGCCGCGGCCGCCGGGGAATGGGCCTCCCAGGCCGGGCTTTGGGATGGCGGGCGTCAACGACGAGCTCACGCGCAAGCTGGCCGCGCGCGGCATCGGGCGCGGCAACCTCGTCGACGGCGTCAAGGACGGCCTCGCCGACGGCTCCATCCTCGTGCAGAAGCGGAACGAGTCCTTCGGCCGCCGCGCCTCGATGAAGCGCTCCGCCGGCCAGGGCGGATCGCACGGCTCGGCCGGCGAAGGCCCCTCCAAGCCGCAGCCGCCGCCCGGCCCGCCGCCGCCCGAGCCGCCCTTGAAGCCGCCGCCGCCGCCCGGCCCGCCGCCGCCGAGCCCGCCGGCGGCGAGCGCCGAGCTCTCGAGCAGGATGGATCGCGACCACTCCCCGAACACCGGGGCCTCGCCCAAGGCGTCGCCGGTGGCGGCGCGGAGCAAGAGGAAAGGGCTGCTCGGAGGGATCCGCAACCGGTCCAAGACAGGATAGCTGTAATTTGACTCGCAGGGTCCACAGGGAGACAGGGAGTAGAGGCTAGAGCAGAGGTGTATCACGGTCATGTTGAGTGAGTCGCTTGCTGCGGGTGAAAGCAGTGCTGCGTCGTCGTTGTGAAAGTAAACGCGCGAAACAGTTAGTACACTTACGCTAAAGTAGCGCGAGACCAGACGGCCCCAACATACACACAACATGCGAGACATTACATGCGAAAACGCGACCTGTAAAGCAAGTCCGGGCCAAAGCCCTACTGCTTATCCTTCAGCTGCAAGCCCTGGCGGAAAGCGCGGGCCAACTTCCGGCGGGTGTGGATGAGCCAGCCGAGGTAGCTGACTCCGCCCAGTAGGACGCAGGCGCCAGCGACGAGCAGAGCCGAGGCCGCGGTGGTGAGCCCGTCCGCCGGCCAAGGCGCGTCGCTGAAGGCGGAGAGGAGGACCGCACCGCTGCTCACCCAGATGGTCGGCGGCGGGTAGGGCGGCGGGTAGGGCGGCGGGGACGGAGGCGGAGGCGGAGGCGGAGGCGGCGGCGGGGACGGAGGCGGAGGCGGAGGCGGAGGCGGAGGCGGAGGTGGCAACGGTGAAGGAGGGGGTGGTGGCTGAGACGGAGAGGGCGGTGGCAGCTCAGGAGGCGAGGACGGCGGTACTGTTGGGTGTGACGGGCAGAAGTAGCCGTGTAAAGGGAGTGACACGGGCAGAAGGGTGTGACACAGCATAGCGTGTCCGGTGTAAAGGGTGTCGGACAACAAAGAGGGCGGCGTCGGCGGTGTAGGCCCGGAGAGCAACGGAGGCTGCGGCGGCGAATGACATAAAATGCCGTGGGAACGACACAGCCTCTCGTTGCTTTGTGCCAAGGTTAGCATATGAGAAGCCGTACTGCGGTCGCCACGCCCGCGCACTTGAGCCAGCGCTTGGGAGGCACAGCTGCCCGAATGCAAAGAATTTTTCGGACCGCTGGCCACTCTGGCGTCACGCCCGTCCTCCCATCCCTCCCTTGGGTTGTCTGTTTTCTTTCTTTCTTTCTTTTTCACGCTGCGAGCCTGTCGTGACCCTTGTCAGGAGCAGGAGAGCCCACCTGTCCCCCTGATCGTCCTTCCAAAATCCTGCTTGTGCAGGTGTGGACCCTGTCCTCCTTACCTATCCCTCGTTTGGGGTGTCTGTTTTCTTTCTTTCTTTCTGGCGCGGACGCGCACGCGCGCGCGTCGCGCGCCACGCGTCGCTCCGCGAGGGCGCGCGCCTACCGCGCGCGATTCGAACCGGGAGCCAAAAAGGCGCCCGGGCGAACCGCGAACCGGTCGCGCCTCCGTGGATGCGGGGTTGAAAGAGAGCAGGCTGGCTGCACCTCCTCATGTACCTCCACTTTTGGGTGGCGGTCACGCGCTGCTGACGGCGCTCGTCGGCGTTGCGGCGCTATGGCGCGCGCTCGTGGCGTTCAGGGCGGCTCGCACAGCGCACACACACACACACACACACGCACACGCACACACACACACACACACACACACACACACACACACACACACACACACACACACACACACACACACATGCATGCATGCATGCACAGACACCCAGCCCCTTCCCCTTCCCCCACAAGGGCGAGGACACACACAGGACGCACCTCTATAGCGAGGCCCGCATAGTATGTGGGAGACTCATGCCGCCGCCCCTGCCACCCCTGTGTCAGTCTTCGTGTCAGTGTGCCTGTGGTTGCGAGAGACTGCCAGTGAGAAGCTGGAGGCAGGTCGCTAGACTGAGATGAGACCGCCAGTGGAGTTGGGAGTCCACCGTGCACGTGTCCCCCCCCTCCCCCCCCCCAAAGGCGCTCTTGGGAAGGAAGAGGCCTCCTTTCCGCTCCCCCCCACAAGCAACGCGCGAGTCACACAACACTCCGACAGACAGCGACGACAGCTCACAGCTTAAGAGCAGCCAGCCCCGGACCTTAGATCACGCCCACCGAGAGTACTTCGTGTTTTGATCTCAAGTTTGGTCAAGGTAAACTTCGTGCTGGCCGCCGCTTTTCCAATCCACTGATGAAAGTAGAGTGCTCTCACCGGCCCTGAAGCCGGAAGAGCGCGCAACTGTCCGCCTCGTCGCGCCCCGCCCACGCAAGGCTACGCGCCCCACCATGCTGTCCTCGCAGATGCGGGTCCATTGTGGCGGACCCGACGCTGCTCAACAGATTGATGGTGCCCCCCACGATCCCCTCGCCGCCGTGCTGCACGGCCAGTGCTTGGAGCTCCAGCAACGGCTGCCAAACATCCTCAGCTGGGAAGAGAAGTTCCCTCCCATCATCGGTGACCTCGCGAGTGGAAACCGCATCGAGGACGTCCTTGAGGGCCTCAAGTCGCTGGCCCGCCTGCAGCCACTTGAGCGCCGCATCTTCATCGCGCGCTTTCGATGTTTACTAGAGCCGTTCGTCGCTCTTGAAGCGCTGGGCCCATTCCCAGGCGAGAGAGCCAAGGTGGCAGCCCAGGTATGTGAGTACGCATGCTTGTTTCTGCAGGATGCCCTCCCCCCTCGCAAGTCTCTCTGCCCGGTGTGAGATTTTTTTGTCCTGCCAGTGCTAACTGCTATCCCTTGTACCCTTTCAGCTCTAGCTGTGTCCGTGCTTGTGCTTGTGTCTGTGGTAGTGCCCGCCAGCCCGGCGCCTTGTGTCTGTGATAATGCCAAAATCATTGAATTTTTAGGGACTGCCTGAAGAGATAATGCACAGGTATTGACACATCATGTATTGCACAGGCATCAGAGCCCCTGCCTTTGCGGCCCAACCGCGCAAGCCATTAGCAGGTCACAAAGGGAGGGCTCACCAGAGACGAACCTGAACGTACCTTGTCTCTCCGCGACACCCGTAGGCGAGCATGGCTGTGCGGAGAGATTCTACTGTGTACTGAGAGAGCGCTGAGTGCTGATATGGGTGTTGCGCTGAGTAGTGCATGCGAACCTAGGGTATGTCGCGCCGCCTCTCAACTGGCAGCGCGTGGTCTAGCAGGTGTGTTTGTGTGTGGAGAGACAACGAGAGGCTCACGGGAGCGCGAGCTGCGCCGTGATCGCCGGGTGATCGCTCGAGCCGGTCCCCGTATCCCTCCCGTTGAAGCCCGTCGCCTCCTCCGACACGTAGATCTTATCCAGGCCGCCAAAGCCGCCAAACTGGCCGGTGCCGACATAGACGGTCGTGAAGCCGCCGCGGCTCTCGAGGTTGCTCTGGAAGCTGCCCTCTGGCGAGCCGTTGGAAGCGAAGGGGTTGCAGTCGCAGGTGACCACGGTGGGTGACCCACGCGCGCCGAGCTCGTCCATCTTGCCGAGCAGGGCGCGCGCGATCTGGGAGTGTGTGGCGGTGCTCGCGGCGGCGCCGAGGTTGTGCGGCAGGTGCGTGTTGAAGAACCAGAACTCCGACCCGCCGCTCGAGAACTTCGCCCAGCTGATGGTTCTCTGAGCGTACGTGTCGCTGGTGATGTCCATCCGCCCCGACGAGCCCGCCACAAACGCCACCTGCGGAGCGACAGAGGGTCCAGGCTTGAGGGTGAGAGGCGAGGGCGAAGCTTCTCTCTTGGGAGGCAGGGTCGCGCCTGCGACGGGTCGTACAGGATGTTGTTGCCCCCGCCCGTATCTGGCACGACCTGGTACCGGCCTCCCGTCTGGCCGGCGAGGTAGTTTGCGTCCTGGCACTCTTGCAGCCCGACGATGGCGGGGCCAAGGTCGCGGATGTGCGCTCCGTAGCTTGGCACAAGGTCGGAGCCGCAGCAAGGGTACCTACGTTCAGAGCGCAGGCGTGGTGCGGTGGTGCGGCGGGCGTGCATGACGACCGGGGCAGCGGCCGCGCGCACCCGTCATACTTTGTGTTATACGACATGATGGAGAGCGCCCCTGCCGGCCCCGACGGCGACGGTGGCAGCGAGGGGGGGATGCCCTCCGGCGCGCACGGCCCGCACAGCGGCGGGAACTCCTCGCCGACCTGCTGGCACGCGTCGGCCTCGCTCTTGCCCATGTTGTCCATCACCCACTGGATGCGCCCGCCGCAAGAGGCCGAGGAGTCGGGCCCGACGGCCGGCGTGGCGAGCACGGCCTCCGTGCAGCTCCCGACAAACGAGCAGAGCCCGCCGGGCGGTGGCGCCTCGCCGCAGACCTCCACCCCGGAGAAGGGTCCCGCCCCCACCTCGTCTGTGGTGGCGCCGCAGCCGCCGCGCGAGCCCCCTCCGTCGCGGCTGGCGCACGAGATCTCGCGAGCGTTGTAGCCCGTGCCGGCAAAGCCGCGCACGTTCTCCTCCTTGTCGTCGAAAAAGTACACCTCGGCGTCTGCAATGGCGACGCCCCGCGCGAGGTACCAGCTCAGCATCCCGGGCACCGCCTCCTGCTTCCGCCCCTCGGGCGCCGCCACGACCAGGGGCGACGCCGAGGCGCCGTCGTTCGGGAAGGACTTCCACGGCACGTTGCCCTCCGAGGCCCCGGCCACGCCCGGCAGCGGCGGCGCCGTGAGGCGCTGGAAGAGGACGCCTCTCTCCGCGGAGCCTGCGCCCGATGCGGTGCCCGCCGAGATGACGCCGACGTGACAGGCGCCGCAGAAGGTCGCGCCTACGTGGAGATATGGGGAGATATGGGGGAGATATGGGGAGATATGGTTGAGGCGCAGAAGGTCGCGCCCAGGTTGAGCGCGAGCTGCGACAGGACGAGAGTGCCTCCCTCGTAGGCGCTGTCGGGCACCCCATCCTGCTGCTGCGTGCCGGGGCACTGCGGCGCGTAGCCTTGCCGCGCGGTGAGCGTGCGATCGACATCGAAGATGCACAGGCAGGACGGCGAGGAAGAGGGCGACGGCGAGGGAGGGGGCGAGGGAGAGGGCGATGCCGACGCCGACGCCTCGAAGGTGGCCGCCACGAGAGGGTGGTCCGACGGGTAGCCATTCACCGAGCGCCACGAGGCGGCATCGGCGCCGTTGGTGAAGATCATGTCGATCCCGCCGTTCGCAACCAGCTTGAGAGGGCCGCCCGCCGCGCCGTCCAGCACGTTGATGGCGGCGGAGCCCGCACCGCAGTTGAAGTCGCCGGTGTAGACGAGGAAGTCGTCCGGCGCGATGTTGTCGGCCACGGCGCGCATCCAGTTGTCGCCCAGGGCGGTAGAGCAGTCCCCGAGCGGGCCGTGCGTGTTCGCGAAGAAGACGGTCGCCCCCGTCGTGCGGTCGAGGAGTCGCACCCACACAGTGACGCGCTGGCCGTACTGGTCGGACCCTACCTGCAGCCAGCCGGCGCCCAGCCGATCGAACCTCTGGCCGTCCCACGCCACGGGCGCGGGGTTGTCGCCGGGGCCGGGGATGCCCGTCGGCGCGAACGAGTCGAAGCGGCCACTCATGCGCGGCACGTTGCTGATGACGGTGCTCACGTCCTCGCACTCTTGGAAGCCGATCAGGTCGAAGGCTTGCCCCTCGATCGTCGCATACAGAGCGCCCCACCGATTGTTCTGGCCGACGTTCCACCAGTAGAGGTTGTACGTGACTACCTCGAGGGCGACGACCGCGCCCCCGGTCCCTGCCGGCGACGGCGGCAGCGAAGGGGGGATGCCCTCCGGCGCGCACGGCCCGCACAGCGGCGGGAACTCCTCGCCGACCTGCTGGCACGCGTCGGCCTCGCTCTTGCCCATGTTGTCCATCACCCACTGGATGCGCCCGCCGCAAGAGGCCGAGGAGTCGGGCCCGACGGCCGGCGTGGCGAGCACGGCCTCCGTGCAGCTGCTCACGCCACACATCTGAGAGGAGGGCGGCGGCGGCGGCGGCGGCAGCGGGGAGGGAGACGGAGGTGGCGGCGAGGTAGAGGGGGAGGGAGATGCAGACGGCGAGGGAGAGGGAGAGGGAGATGGTGGCGGCGAGGGAGAGGGTGACGGCGAGGGAGAGGGTGCCGATGATGGCGACGGAGAGGGTGCAGAGGTGGAAGTGATGCGGAGGACGGCGACGATCGGCTGGTGGTCGGAGCCGCCCGGCGCGTCGTCGACGGTGGCGGTAGCGACGACACTGAAGCGCCCCTCCTCGGTGTAGATGTAGTCCACCCAGTTGCGGTGAGCCAGTGTAAAGGTGACGGCGAGCCCGCCTGCCGTGAGGCTCGATGGCGCCGGGTTGGAGGGCGAGTCCTCGTTCAAGTCTCCGAGGAGCAGCACCGGCGCGTCGCCGCCGGCAGCCTTCTCCGCCGCCGCGTGGTTCGTAACCATCACCGCGTTCTGCTCGTGGTAGCCCCACACCTCCTCCCCGCCCGGCAGCTGGTGCATGCCGTAGACGAGCAGGTCGCTTGCAGTGGCGGCATGCCGAAGCCGCGCCCAGGACATGGACCTGCTGCCGTCGTAGGGCACCGTGCCGTCTTGCACGACTGACCACGTGCCGCTCCGGTAGAGGATGTCGCCGTCCCAGCGTTGGCCGGACGCGTCGGCCGACCACTGGTAGTCACGGAGGTCGTCGCCAATGGAGTGCAGAGCAGTCAGCAGGCCCTCGCGACACCAGGCGGTGACGCACTCTTGGATCGAGGACACGTCGGGCCGCTGCTGAGCGATGGCGGCCGCCAGCTCGGCGTGGCGCTGCGGCGACTGCTCTGCAAACCAAACGTTGAAGGACATCACCTTGAGCTGAATCCCGCCACCGTCGCTGCCACCGGCGCCGCTATCGCTGCCGCCGCCATCACTGTCGCCGCCGCCGGTATCACCGTCGCTACCTCCGCCGTCAACGCCAGAAACAGGTGCTCCAGTGGGCCGAATGTATGTGTCGTATCCAACATAGTCCTGCAGGCAGGACGACAGGTCCACGGAGCCGCGCCGGTAGCACAGGACCGGCTCTGTCGACGTCACGACGACCGCCTCGCAGCCCGCCGTCGCGTCGCACTGCGCGAAGCAGTCCTCCTTCGACGGGAGGGTGCAGCACGGACTCCCGCCCGGCGTCTCCAAGTCCTCCGCGCCAAAGCCGGCGTAGCAGTTTGTCGAGGCGTGCAGCGTCCACGTGGCGGGCGGGCCGGCGGGGTCGCAGCCGCCGCACTCGGCCGGAAACTCATCGGCGACTCGCTCGCACGCAGCCATCTCGGCCATGCCTCCCCCGTCGGCGCTGCGCAGCCACGAGATGCGGCCGCCGCACGAGTACTGCCCGCCTGCGTCCGTCGCGAGAGTGTTCCAGACCGCGTCCGTGCACGACGCGGCGCCGCAGCGAGCCTCCCCTTGCGGCGGCGGCGGCGCGTGCGGCGGTGGTGGCGGTGGCGACGGGGGCGGCGGAGGAGGGGACTGAGGAGGAGCGGTAGCACTCGGGCTGCACGCGCCGCATTCGCTTGGAAACTCGTCGACGGCAACCTGGGTGCACGCGGCTTCCAGGCTGATCCCTGGCCCGGAGGGGTCGAACTGGAGCCAGTCAATCCGTGCGCCACAACTCGCGGTCACGTCCGGGCCCACTGCCAGGGTCGCCCACGCCTCGTCGTCGCAACTCGCAACACCGCAACGCAGAGGCGGCGGCGGCGGCGGCGACGGCGACGGCGACGGTGGTCGCGGTGACAGAGAGGGTGGTGGCGACGGCGACGGCGACGGCGACGGCGACGGCGACGGCGACGGCGACGGCGACGGCGACGGCGACGGCGACGGCGACGGCGACGGCGACGGCGACGGCGACGAGCCGGAGTCAGGGCCAAAGCAGAGGGATCGGAACTTGCCCACGACCCGCGAAGCGCTGTCTGCTGTCGTGGTTGTGGACGGCTGGAACTCATTCTCGTAGGCGAGCCCACCAAAGCCGTGCTCGGCAAAGTAGTACGCCTCCTCGATGCAAACGGACGGCACCGATGCAGGCGGGTCGAAGATGGTGTCCATGGCCGTGAGCCACTGATCGACGTTGTCTTGCACGTTTAGCTGGGCGCCAAACTCTGTGAGGAGCACCGGCCGGCCAAGCGCCCACGGTTCCGCCTGCAGCGTGCACGCAGCGTTGTGCGTCCACACCATCGACCCAACCACGCCGGCGGTGTCGGAGGCGGTTGCGTAGGCGTGAAAGGCAATGTACGTCACGTAGAGCGGGCTGGCCGGCTCCTGGCACTCTGGGCACGCGGCGAAGAAGGCGCCGTAAAAGTCGCGCATCCAGTCGAGGCCGTTGTGGACGGCGGGGCCCACGATCTCGTACCCCGCGAGCTCCGAGGCGCACCGCGCCTGGTACGCCTTCCAGGTGGCGGCCGCCGCCGCCCCAGCGTCGCGCGGAGGCTCGTTGAAAAGTGAAAACCTGTCCCGGCCGTTGACGCTTCCGGCCGGGGGCGGGCACTGCACCGAGGAGTCGTCCCACTGCTTGAGCATGAGGCCCGAGTCGGTCCAGTCGTTGAGGCCGTTGAGGTCGGCGGCCGACAGGAGCCCGGCGTCGATGGCCGCCTGCGCGTTGTCTCCTCCTCGACGGTACTCTGCCGCAACGGCGCACTTGACGCCGCGCGCGCTCACGCCCCCACCACCAGGGTCGGACGGCGACGGCGTCGGCGAGGGCGCGGCGGCCGGGTCGCAGCCGCCGCACGCGCCTGCAAACTCGATGGCCGCCACCTGCGCACAGGCCGCGGCCTCGTCCATCCGTGGTCCGTCCGGCGACGTCTGCAGCCAGTCGATCCGATCGCCGCACGAGCACGTCATGCACTCGCTATTCGCCGCTGCCGCCGCCCACGCCTCTGGCGTGCACGCGGGCGTGCCGCACTTGGACCACGGCGGAAGAGGTGGGGAGGGCGGCGGGGGCGGTAGCGCCTCGATCGAGACATAGTCGATCGAGTAGGTGAGCGGGTAGGCGTCGTCGGGCGGCGTGGCGTACCCGACGCCGTTCCCGCCGATGGCGAGGTTGAGGAGCGCAAAGTGGGGCTTGGCGTAGGGCCAGTCGTAGTTGGTCGAGCCGGGGCTGCGGTCGAGGAACCAGGTGCGCTCTCCGTTGACGAAGAACTCGAGCTTGTCCGGCGACCAGTCCATCCGCACGGTGTGGAACTGGTCGAGGTCGAGCGGCTCGGAGCTGCCGCCCGGCAGCGCAGTCCCCGTGCCCCACGAGTGCTTTGCCGAGTGCGCCGTCGAGTAGAGGCTCTCGCCGGAGCGGTCGGGCGGCGCACGCTGGAAGTTCTCCATGATGTCAATCTCGCCGCACGCCGGCCAGCTGATCTCCCCGATGTCGTTGCCGAGCGTCCAAAAGGCTGGCCATGTGCCGAGCACACCGGGCACCCTGAGGCGCGCCTCCCAGCGGCCGTAGGCGATCTCGACCTTGCCCTCCGTCGTGAGCCGCCCCGAGGTGACGCGGCCGTCGCTCTCCTTGCGAGCAGTGATGTGGAGCATGCCATCGCGCACGTCGATGTTGTCCTGGGAGTCGACGTAGCATTGAAGCTCGTTGTTGCCGCCGCCGTTGCAGTTGACCTCGACGTTCCACGAGCTGCGGTCGAGTGCTGCGAGCCCCGCGCCGTCAAAGTCGTCTCGAAAGAGGAACTCGGGCGCCGCCACCGGACTGGGCGCGGGAGCTACGGCGGGCGAGGTGGACGATGCCGGCGGCCGTGGTGGCGGCGACGGTGGCGGCGAGGGGGGCGGCGGCGGCGGAGGAGGAGGCGACGCGGCCTCCGGGCTGCACGCGCCGCACTCGACGACGTACTCCTCGGCGGCGACAATGCGGCAGGCGTCGGGCTCGCTCAGCATTCCGCCGTCGGCGGTCTGCAGCCACTCGATGCGCTGGCCGCACGTGTAGTCTCCGGCGAGGCGCGCCCACGTCGTCTCCGTGCATGCGCGCGTGCCGCAGAGGAGGGGCCCCGGCGCGATGGGCGGCATCGGGGGCGGGGAGGGCGACGGCGGCGGCGAGGGGGCCGGCGAGGGCGAGGGCGGCGCGGGCGGCGGCGAGGGAGGCGAGGGCGGGAGCTCCTCGCCCGGCGGCGGGCACCAAGCGGGGAGCGACGCCGTGACCGGGCCGTACGCGCCACGGAAGTGGCGGTCGTGCGTCGAGGAGAGCGGGCAGGTCTGGCCGCCCACCGTCAGCGTGAGCGAGTCGACGATTCCGAGCGCCCGCTTGAGGAGCGGATCGGAGAAGTCGACGACCAGTCCGTCGGTGGAGCCGAGGTCGAGCCTGTAGGCCTGCCCCGCCTGGACCACCGTCGAGTAGCCGCCGCGGCGCAGCCGCACCTGTCCGCGCGAGTGCAGCGGTCCGGTCAGGCGGGGACAGGGGTGAGGGGACAGGGGTGGGGGGACAGGGGTGGGGGGACAGGGGTGAGGGGTGAGGGTGGGGGTCAGAGAGGGTTGGGGGTGAGGGTGGGGATGATACTCATCGCTGAGGCTGGCGGAGGGGGGCGTCCGTCTCTGCCTGCCCGCCGTCGCCCCAGATGTGGTCGTACCGGAGCAGGCCGGCGTTCATGCCGTAGAGCTGGCACGAGTCCCCAGAGGTGCACGAGTAGTCGGCGAGGCCGAGGTCCTCCTCAAAGCCGGGGCCGTGGATGCGCGTCTCGCAGCAGGTGGCGCAGTCGCACCCGTTGTTTGGCGCCCAGACGTCCAGCCGGCGCATCGGAGAGTCGCACCCGATGCCCCAAAAGTAGAGCTCGCCGGCCGGCTGGCAGCCGGCCACCTTTGCGAAGCCGCTGAGCCGGCCCGAGACCACCGAGCGGTACCCGCCGAGCGAGCCGTCGGGCGACGAGAAGGACGGGACGACGTTGTTGCCGCCCGAGACGCCGAAGCGGATCCGGTGCAGTCCGCCGAAGCCGCCGCGCAGGTTTCGCCACTCGACGGCCTCGAGGAGGTACTGCGCGTTGCACATGGTGTGCTTGCCCGCGCGCTCCTGGTCGAGGCCGCAGTGCTGGCCAGCCGAGAGGGCGGCGTCGCCGACGTTGCCTGCGCGCAGCACGGGGGCGGTGGCGTGTCTACGGGGCGCGGGGTCGTCCGGCAGCCACTCAGCGCAGGCGCCTGCAAAGCTCACGTTGCGCAGGTAGAAGGTGAAGGGGCCGGCCGGGCCGTTGAAGCGCGTGCACGAGCCGCCCATCGAGAACTCGCCCTGGTCGTTGGCGAAGATGGAGTTCTCGACGTGCGGCGTGAGCTGGTCGACCATCGTCTTGGAGACCTTCCAGTACATGGAGTGGCCATAGGGTTAGGGTTAGGGTTAGGGTTAGGGTTAGGGTTAGGGTTAGGGTTAGGGTTAGGGCTTGGAGACCTTCCAGTACATGGAGTGGCCATTGTAGACAGAGATCATCCGGTCGAAGGCGATGTCGCCCAGCGTGTAGTGGCCGACAAAGGTGGAGTGGTACTCGAGCGAGTCCTCGATCACGTTGAGCACCCCGTTGTCCGAGCCGTCCGCCTTGTGCCAGTCGCACGAATTCGGGCCGCGGAAGAGCTCCTCCCAGTCGCGGAGGAAGCCGCCGCACGGCTGCCACGTGTTATCCACGGTGCACCACTCGGTGGAGCCTACAGCCGACGTGTGGCCTGAAGCCGCGAGGGCGAGGGCGCGGCCCTCTCTCGCTGTCTGGAGCCGAAGCGGTCGAGGTCGCGCGGGTACTGGTTGTCAAGGTAGAGCCCGAAACGCGCGCCGCCGTGCGTGACCTGACCGCGCCAGACGCCAAACGGGGCGTGGCGGGGGCAGATCTTGCCCCACGCGCCGCCCTTGCCAAAGGGGACCGTCCCCCCGGGCGAGAAGATGGTGTTTTGCCAGTTGGCGACGCGGTTGTCGACAAAGTCGTTTGACATGCCGTGCAGGTAGATGCCTACAGCGACGGTGCCACGCTCACGACGCGGTAGCCCTAGCGTGTTGACGGCGAGCACCGCGCGCGGGGCAGAGGGTCACCGCTCGCAAAGACGGCGTCGGTGATGGCGGTGTCGACGTGGCAGACGTCCCACGTCGTGCAGACGACGACGTTGCGCACGAAGGCGTTGCCCATCTCATTTCCGTCCTCGGTGTAGATGCCTACCACAAGTACAAGTCGTCCGAGATCGCCCTAGATCGCCCGAGATGCCCCCGAGGTTGCCAGCGCGGCAGAGGTGCCGTTGCCGCGCGTGTCCCAGAGGACGTTGTCCTCGACGAGCGCGTCGTGCGTCTGGTGCACGGTGATGCCGCCCTGGTGCGAGTCCTCGATGGCGTTGCCGCGGAAGACGCAGTCGGGGCAGCTGAAGAGGTAGTGCCAGTGCAGGCAGTAGCGGCCGACGCGGTGGCGCTGGCCGCACTTCTCCACGCGCGCGTACTCCACCTTCATCGCGCCGCCGCCCGCCATGATGGTGTGGAGCCCCACGTGCTGCGAGTCGCCCTCGGCGCTGAAGTCGTCGCCGGTGATGACCACCGAGCGCTGCAGGTTGGCCACCTCCGCGGCCATCCGCACCTCAAAGCCCTCTACCGTCTGCACCCCGCCCGCAGTCTTGTGGGGGAGCGGCGGGCTGATGCCCACCGTCCGGCCCGAGAGGGAGGTGATGGTGTGGGTGGAGGCCTGCAGCGGGGGCGAACAAAAGGGAGGGGGGGGTAGGGGGGGGGTGGGTGGGGGGGTGGGGGGGGAGTCGGTGCGGGGCTAGTGGTAAGCGCTTGGGCGCACTCGGTTGTTTCCTCCGCCCGGGTACTGGCCGGACGTCGACGCGACACCGATCCGGTCGCCCGCCCTCCAGCCCATCGCCGCCGCGTCGTGGTCGAGGAGAATCGACTGCGCGCCTGCCTGCGCGGTGGCCGCGAGCAGGCTCCACGTGCGCGCCAGCTTGCGGTCGTGCACCTGTGGGGAAGGCGAGGCGGTGGCGGGCTCTGCTGCGGGGTGGAAGGGGGTGGAGGAAAAGGGGGGGTGAAAGGAGGGCGGAGGAGAGGGCCGGGGGAGGAGAGCGGGAGGAGAGGGAGGTGGAGAACGGGAAGAAGGGAGGGGGAAAGGCGCCTCGACGGTCGGCGTGGGCAGCGCCGGGTCTTGGGCGAAGGCGCTGTACCCGCCAAAGACGCGCTCGCCGTTGTACGCGTGCTGGGCGCCGTTCCGCCGGATGTGCACGGTCGCCTCCCTGCGAACGTGTCGTGGGCACGTTGGAAAACAGTGCCGTGGGCACGGCGCACTACGTGCGGCGGCGCAGAGAAGGCGCGGCCCTTGCGGTCCGGAGGCGATGGGACTGGAGGCGCGTGGTTAGTGAGGTGCTGGGCGGGGAGGTGTCTCGGAGGTGTTCCGGACCGCTCCATCGGCGCGTCCGCCGTCCCGATCTCGATGCGGCCGCCCTCCTCCGCCACGACGAAGCCGGCGGAGAGGCGGAGGCTGTCCTTGGACGTGTCCCAGCGCAGGGTCCCCTTGACGGTGAGCGAGCGCACGTCCAGGCTCGAGTCGAGCAGGTACGTCGCCCCCGCAGGGATGGTGCAGTCGTTGCTGGCGGTGCAGCCCATGCTCGACTGGAGCCGCCGACCCGCGCGGCCGGTCGCGCGGCGCTCCACCGGGCCAGGCTTGGCTGGCGCCGCCTCGGGAAGCACGTAGAGCGCCCGGTGCGACGAGGCCCAGCCGCCGCCGCTCGTCCACAGCCGGAGTGGCTGCGGCGCCGGCGGCGCGCCGACACCTCCCGCGGCGCCCGCGGCGCTCACGGCGCCCACAGTGCACCTCACCTCCTTCCCGTCTGCAGCGGTGGCGGCGGTGCGGCAGAGCTCGGCTTCGCCGGCGAAGAGGAGCGGAGGGTCGTGGCGTGCGGCCGTGCCCCCCGCCGGCGGGTGCAGCGCCGCGTGGGTGAGGTGGAGCCCCGTCCCCTCGCAGGCGATGGTCGTCCCCGCTTCCAGAGTGGCGGGCAGACGGTCGGTCAGCGGGATGCGGCCGGGGCGGGCGAGGCTTGCATTCTCCGCCGCCTCGACCCAGCAGCCGCTCAGGACGGGAGTGTCGGCGCTTGAGAGCGAGAAGCCGCACCCGTCGGCGGCGCGGCAGTCGGCCACTGCACCGCGCGTGGCCAGGCGAACGCGGCCGGGTGGCGGAGGCAGCGCCCCCGAGGGCGGCTCCGAGAGGCCGGCGGGCGAGAGCCACGACGCGGGCATCGCCCAGAGCGCCACCGTCGGCGAGTGGTGCTGGTCGGCGGTGACGCGCCGGGTGACGTTGACGGCGAGGCGAAGCCGCTCGCCGTGCTCGACGTGCGCGAAGCGGAGGCGCAGCTCGTACCGCCGGCCCGCGGAGAGCTCGACGGGCGGCGAAGGGCCGGCCGCTAGGTCGATCACCTCAGCGGTCGCGTCGCCGTCGTCGCCGCCCAAGATGAGCGCCGCCTCGCAAAAGCGCGGAGAGTGCAGCCGGCCGCAGTCGAGCGCGAAGGCGTAGCTGCCGTCGAGGGGCGGGGTGATGGACGCGTCCATCGTCGCGACGAACGCGTCGTGCCTACACGGAGCGTGTCGGGAGGAGTCTGGGACGCGGCCTTAGGCGGCGGTTGGTGGGTGTGTGGGTGTGT